GTTTAAAAGATTTCGCCTCTGATCTCTACGCGTCCTTGGTTTCTGATGCTCAAGGTGATGTTCAAGTCAAATTTATAAGTGTGACTTTATTAATAACTACTTTATCACGCATTTTTCTTGAAAGGCGCCGGAAGTTCTAGCGTTTTTAAATGTACAGTAACCACAATTTTTGCCGCAGCTTAGTATTGCTAATGTAATTACAAATGGTTAACCAGTTGAAATACACGCATCAAGTAACGTTCATTGGGCGCTAGGGTTACAATTGAATGGCAATCAAAAGACTAAAACAGAAGATGGAAGGAAATGTGTCAACTTAGCAGCGGAAGTGAACATATGCGAGCATAAAGGCTCGCATGTATATTATCTGTTTTCTAACGAACACAAACGGGAAAACGCAAATATTTTATCACATCGGTTTGGAAAATGTTTGACTATCAAAATCATGGACCATTGGCACCCTACCGGTTAGACTGTTTTGCTTCTGTCAACGATGAAATGATTTCAAATACATTACAACGGCAGGCTCACCGATCTCAACGAAAGACCGGATTTTCGGAAAGGTCACCACATGCTCCTCAGCGTTCTCAAACGTGAGGGACGAACTATAAAGCGCATACCCTGTTAGAAAAAGGTTGCAACTACGAAGCAACTCTAGCGAAACTACAGCTTTGGAAGCACTTTGCTTGGCCGAAATGACAGCTCCCCTAAAATTTTCACCGGCCCGCCACGCTGGCGACTTTGGGACAACTGTTGCCGGAAAATGGTCCCACGGTAATCGCCTACCAAGTCAACCCAAATAGATAGGTGGAATTACCATAAATAAGTTGTTTTCGGTATTAGCGTCTTAAAGCTGTTCGTAAACGCAATGTCCGCATGCCTGGATCTGAACAGAGTATTTGAGAGAATGCTAGATCATGCAATAGAATACATGTAACATGGAGTAAACAATAATTGCACTTTGCTGTCAATACCCCTAATCTGCAGTCCTACGGCATAAAAGTGCTGCTAGGCAGACATGCCTTCCGTGACCCACAAACAGTTTACCATCGCCGAATTAGTCGATATTGGCACTTCGCACGTCGTTTTTGATTCTTCTAAATCCAAGCACAGTGGTCATCAGTGCTGGATGACGGACATAAGCGAAGGTTCTGTAGCCGTCTGCATCCATCTATTAAGTTCATTAGTGAAAATCTGTCTTGTGACAGAAAAATACTTCCAGTGGTGATAG